ACCCCCCCCCCCCCCCCCCCCCCCCAAAAAAAAAAAAAAAAGATGACCCTCCATTGTATTCCTCTTGCAGCCATTGTTTTTTATGACAATTTCTAGACTCTAGAGTCTTTTAGAATTTTGAAAAATAAATAAGCCTCTGTGGTATACGCAGTGTTAGCATAGAGCAATGCTATTGGGACATAATTTGGGGATGTAATACATTTTTACCAATGGAGTGATAGTGGAATGGATTTAATGCTACTATGGGTCCCATCATTAAATTCATTCACTATCACTTCATTGGTTACAATGCATTATGTCTCTCAAATATGTCCCAATAGCATTAGTGGTTAGCATAATGTTGTCTAACTGACGGGCTAGATCTGTTATCGTCATTCAATCCTGTCATTTGTAGCCCTTCTTGTGGTTACAAGTTTTGTACTTTTGGAAAATTGAAAAGTCAGTTTGCTTTCTTAACAATAGAATTTCGCTTCTAGATAGGAGGCAAGTATATTGTACTTTTTCATTCAAAGAACTAATGCTACTTAAATAATTATATGCAAGATAACATAACTAAAACACGATGAAGATGATATGTAGCCTCATTTTCATATTCTAAGTGTTTTTATTTCCATTTTGAATGATATTGATAGACATTGGAGTATTAAGTTTTGCACTGTATTGATTCTCCATTTTTCTCTCTTGTTTTTTTTTTTAAATCAAATATAGCAAGGAGATTGCAAACTTCTTGTGGATAAGTTTGACATGCTTTTGAATTTGTTTAGAATTCCACTTAGTCAGATGCTAGAATTGATTTGGTGTTTGGAAAAATGGTGGTTGCACTGAAGTGGTTATTTTGATTTGATGATGATTTAGAACTATTTAACAAGAATTGCCATTAGTGAAATTTACCTGATTTTTTAGGCCGAGCTCACTTCATGGTATACTGTTGAGAAGAAGATGCTAATGTGAAAATCTTTCTATATTTACTTTGAAGGTTTTCCATTGGCATGCTCTTAATTCTCTTTTTTCATGGTATAGATGCATGCCTTTAATTTCATTAAGACTATGGGTTTGCTTATGTGTCTACTAGGGCCCTGCTCAAGCTCAGAATTTGAGAGATTCTCTTGCTGAAGCAAATTCTAATATTGTGGTCAAGGTGATATTTATTTTCCATGATTCTTAATGACAATATTGGTTTTGTATGTGTTTTTCCGTATTTTTTAATGTTTTTGCAATAACTTGTTATGTGCTTAAAGCAGTTTGTCTTCTAAAAATACGACTTTGTTGGGTGTGCGTTGTACAGATTGGTCTAAGGAAAGGTTCTCGCTCATTTGCTGAGGCACGTGCTGCTGGGTTCTCTGAAGAGAATGGGACTTTAGGAGACATCTGGGAAACTGTCTCTGGCAGCGATTTGGTGCTTCTCCTAATTTCAGATGCAGCCCAGGTTGGTAGACTGACCAAAATATAAGCGCTGCTGGTCTGGTTCTACATTTCTATGTTTTGCATTTGCAGATATAGATTTCTCGTAAAACATTATGGTAGAAATTTATCAACGTGATTATTTCATGCTACGTAGGTAATTAGCTCTCTAGAAAGTTTTAAATTTCTAATGCAGTAACGGCAAATGTTAGGTATGTATCCAATCTATCCTCCTAGACACCCTTTATGGGGACTCAACTGTGTGTTATTTTTTAGTGATTTCTATGTTGGCAGGCAAAAAACATGCAGCATATGCAAATAATCTGATTTCTTCCAATCCTGCTCTCTATTTCTGGTATTAAAAATTTCGTGAGTCTGCTTGCTTATTACCTATTTAAATAATCTTTCATGGATTCCACCAAAGGAACATGAAAGGTATCTTTTAAATTTAAAGATGTACTTTGCAAGAAGGATCCATTATCCTTCAGAGTGGAAAAAAACCGAAACAAAGTTGACATGTAAACTTAAAACTAATAGGAGCTTGACATGTTAGGTTGTAAAAGTTGCATCTCGGTGGAAGAAATGAATTATGAGACTTCTTAAACCTCTGCAAGTTAAGTGGGTAATTTAAGATATAATGATGCATATTGAACAGAAAATTTGTGTTTTTGCTTGTCCTTTATTGCATTTCATTTCTTGTCATCATTATCTTATTTGAGATTCATCACGTTGCAGGCTGATAATTATGAGTCAGTGTTCTCTCACATGAAGTCCAACAGCATACTTGGGCTTTCCCATGGCTTTCTTCTTGGCCATTTGCAGTCACTGGGCCTTGATTTTCCCAAGAACATCAGTGTTATAGCTGTGTGTCCCAAGGGAATGGGTCCATCTGTTCGGAGATTGTATGTTCAGGGCAAGGAGATTAATGGTGCAGGGATCAATTCCAGTTTTGCAGTCCACCAGGTATCTAGCTCTGTGCCAATCTCTCTCTGCTTATATACCTGTCTCCCAGTTGCCCACACAAAACACTTGTTTTTTTCCTAGTATAAGGTTGTAAGGCTACCTGTATTTCTGTCAACAGGATGTTGATGGCAGAGCCACAGATGTTGCTCTTGGATGGTCAGTTGCCCTTGGTTCCCCTTTCACGTTTGCGACTACATTGGAGCAGGAGTACAAGAGTGACATATTTGGGGAACGAGGTGAGCGTGGTTTCCTTCATCCAGATTTTGTTTTTAGCTGCATAATGATGTCTGATTTCACCCATTAGATTAATAGGAATTTTACTGGGTGCGGTGCATGGCGTTGTTGAGTCCTTATTCAGAAGGTACACTGAAAATGGAATGAGCGAAGATCTGGCATACAAAAATACCGTTGAGTGCATCACTGGGATTATTTCAAGGACAATATCAACCAAGGTTTGTGTTCTTCTCAAGTCCGATATAGTTCATCCTTGTTCCTTCCTCCTCTCCTCTGCCTCCCACAATCCACCTCCCCTTCTTCCTCTTTGTCATCCTTCCCGAGTTCCTGTATGTTTGAGATTTTTGAAAATCACTACCTAGGTATTTTGCAGGCTACTTCACCTGTTAAACCTTCTTAACCTATTGGATATCCAACATATTTACCATTTGTTTGTGTCGGTTGCACTGTTCCTTCTCACAGGGCATGCTAGCTGTCTACTGTTCATTGTCCGAGGATGGTAAACGAGAGTTTGAGGCTGCATATAGTGCTTCTTTTTATCCCTGCATGGACATCTTATATGAATGTTATGAAGATGTAGCCAGCGGTAGTGAGATCAGGAGCGTTGTGTTGGCTGGACGACGTTTTTATGTATGTTTCATTTCATTATCTGTTGACTTTCATGGTAGTCAAAGAGACTGTCAAATGTTAAAATAGTTCCCTGCAAATGTTAATTCATGTTTTTCTCCACTTCACAGGAAAAGGATGGTTTACCTGCTTTCCCAATGGGGAAGATTGACCAGACTCGGATGTGGAAATTCGGTGAACGTGTTAGAGCAGCGCGACCTGCAGGTGACCCTGGCTCTTTATATCCTTTTACAGCAGGTGTTTATGTGGCGCTAATGATGGCCCAGGTGAGTTCTCTATTAAAAATCTAAAGTTCAAGTGGCTTATACTATCAAAGGGACCTACTTTATGCTGCTCATTGAGATAGTGAGTTGTCTGCTCCCTGAAGGAGGACTTGGTTCCTCCAAATTATTATTGAAAGATACGAGCAACATGTGATTGGTCTCTGTTAAATTAAATTAAGTTTGTTTATTAAAATTCGAGGGCCCATTTTTGTACTTATTACAGGAAATGTGGCGTGTTTCTTTCTTTCTTTTCTTTTCTTTTTTTTTCCAAATTTGAGGAGAGGCTTCAAGAAAACTTTATTTAATCTGCATGTTTAGGTAACAATATTTTTTTTTTTTTTGGTTTATTTTGGAATGATGTCATAAGCAGATTGAGATTCTGAGGAAGAAAGGGCACTCCTACTCGGAGATTATAAATGAAAGTGTTATTGAGTCAGTGGACTCTTTGAATCCATTTATGCATGCTCGTGGGGTTTCTTTCATGGTAGACAATTGTTCAACAACTGCACGACTTGGATCAAGGAAGTGGGCTCCACGATTTGATTACATTCTCACCCAGCAGGCCTTGGTGGATGTGGACAATGGTACTCCCATCAACCGGGACCTCATCAGTAACTTCCTCTCGGATCCTGTGCATGGAGCCATTGAAGTTTGTGCCCAGTTGAGACCCACCGTTGACATCTCAGTGCCTCCAGATGCAGATTTCGTTCGTCCAGAGCTGCGCCAGTCTAGCAACTGAAGGTGTTGAAGAATACCTGGGTTGTACTAGCTAGCTTGTTATGTGATAGTTGAGCGAGAAGCTTTATTGAATCTTGGAGCACTTTTAGTTGAATCTGTTTTCCTTGAGGGTTATTCTACTATAAAATACTTCTCTATGTTTGGCTTTATGCTTAGGGATGAGACTTGAGATGCACTTCTATATATTGATGGGATAATGATAAGTTTTCTTCTTCAAAGCAGAGGAGTTTTTTAGAATTGCATGCCCAAAATAGGAAAAATTACTGGTCATTATCTGTAACAGTGCCATGGCTGTGAGAAATACTTGGGAATTTAGGCATTCTTTGGATGAGTTAGCATTCCTGATCTGCTGTTTATTTAGTAGCAGGTGAATATTTTGCTGACACTCACTTTGATTGGTACAAAATCAGTAGCAATTTGTTTTGCTTTGATTTCCTTGAAAGGCTTATGATATAACTTTTTTTTTTTTGGGGGGTGGGGTCACCTTCCCTTCATTTCATTTCCAATCCCGTTCTGTTTGTCTTCTTTTTCCTCTTTGTTTTTTGGTCTCATTGTATATCTTTTCTGTTTTTTTTCTTGTTCTTGCTAAAATGGTTGTTAGGGCTGATTTGTTATGCATTGTTGCAAGTCAACTGGAAGTAGGTTTATAAAATCAAACTAGTGTGTGTCTCGGGCGTATTCCCCTCCAAGTAAGCATCAGTATCAAGCCTTATTATAGTGTAGGTTTCAGGGGAGGTATTCCCCTCCAAGTAAGCATCAGTATCATACCTTATTATAGTGTAGCTTTCAGGGCTTGCTAATTTGATTACAACTGTACATCTGTAGTTCTTCAAATCTTTTCGTAACAAGGCATTTTATTTTCTTGCAGCCATCGCTGTGCAAGTTTCTGGCTTCAGTTGGCCTTCCAAATTTCTCGAGGTTATAGACAATGCAAACTTTGTATATTTTTGTTCTGACCTCTGTTCAATGAATGTTTCTGGCCAAGGGTTTTGCTTATTAGAAGTATATAGCCATCTTTCCCAGAAAAATTTGGTTGTGGAGTATCATGGGATTTTCTTGGTATCGTCTTTGGAGATTGAGAATGGAGTTGTTTAAATTTCCCTAGTGTTGGTATATTGTCATTTGCCCGTGTTTTTAGTGAAAAAGTCCATTTCAAGTTTGAGGCTAGCAGATTAGAAAGAAAGTTTAGGGAATGGGGGTTTCTAATTAGACGAAGACGTTCACATATATTACTTAGCTTTACAGATATTTGTTGGGAGAAGACAGCGACAGTTATTTCTTCATGATCATCTGTGCACAGCTAAACCACAAGAGAAGAATTTCATTGCAGTGCTGTCCAGGCCATCCTTTGCATCCTTACGTACCCTTCTTCGCCCCATTGCATGCCACATGATTTCTACACCGACTAGTAATTCATGCCCTCGTTGCTAGTCCAATAAGCAACAGCTACAACATCAAGGTCTAGGTCAGTATCTTATCGTGTAGTATTGGAAGTAAGATTCCTTTGCAACAGAGGCTGGTTAACTAGCAATAACTTTCAGGAGTGCAGGTTCACTATCATATTGTCTTGCTGCCACGATTTTGTTATCCTTATTTCCTTCTGTTTTCAGCTACAAAATATAGTGTGTTCCAGGCTAAATGATAGGTGGGAAGAAAATAGCAAGGGGAATGCAATAGTTTCATCATTTCAACTAGTGTTGCCAAGAGCACGATGAACCAACTCAGTATCGTGAGGCAGCTCAGGTGGAAAGCAGGTATAAGGAAAATACTTTCAATAGAAAATGAGTTTAAATAGCAACTGATATATTTTACATATAATTACCATGACTCAAAACAAATTGATTTTCCAGAATGACAAGTGCACAAATCCTTGCCACAACTATGAACAAGCAAGAGTTAAAGACTAGAAATCACAATAGCAAGTGATGCATATTATTTACATAGCCAGTCATGTTGAAGGATTTGAACTTAGGCAGTGGGATATGAAGCCTGCATTGCAATACCACAAAGGCCATCTTCTGCTTCAACATCTCTTTGCATCCGTATGTACCCCTCTTCACCCCAACTTGTGCCCCATGAGTTCTTCACTAGCCAATACTTAGTCCCATTGTTGGCGGTCCCATAACCAACAGCAGTAACACCATGATCTAGGTCAGTACCACAATCCCCTGTAAAGACGCCACTGGAGTAGAATTGGAAGTCAGAACCCCCAGCATCAATGGCAACAGAGACTGGTTGTTTGGCAACAGCTTTTAGTAATGCACTCTCACTATTGTTAGGGACATCTTCATACCCAGTTATCTTGGCTGCATGGTTTGATGCCTTGTTGGTGTTGCAAGTGCCATCGGTTCCCTCATAGGGATAAGTAGTTTCAGAAGCGAGACCGTTATTTTTTTGAATGAATTGGAAAGCATCGTCCATGAGACCACCCTCACAACCTTGATCTTCACCGCTAGTGTCACAGTCGACCAGCTCTTGTTCCGATAACGATATTAACTTTCCAGTTGTTAGTTGGGTAATTCCTTCCGTGGCTGCCACTGCTGAAAATGCCCAACAACATCCTACATATGGGTAACAGGTCAAGAGTCAGGACACATCGACATAATAGTCATACTTTTAATCATTAGAAAATGTTACTTACCACACTGGCCTTGGTCCTTTACACTGGTTACTGCACCTTTCTTTCTCCAGTCCATAGTAGCAGGCACTGCTGTTACATTTTCATATTTGAACGAAGTTGTTGCTGGGGAGCACATATGGCCCTTGAATTTGTTTCGTGAGGTCTTGAACTCCTCATTTGTGAGGTCCGCAAACTGATTGACTCCTAGCTTGTAGGGCCTGTTTGCCGCTTTATTAAAAGACTCAATATATTCAACATTTTGTTGAAATATCTTGAATCGCTTTTCCTTCTCATTGGCATCCTTATATATGCGTCCATAATGAGACATCCATTGCTCGTGCCTCTGATTCATTGATGCCTCGGATAGAATGCGAGATGTAGTTCGAAAAGGCAAAGCTCCCAAGATGAAGAGCAAAGCCAAACAGATGAAGTGGTACTGCTTTGTGAAAGCCATGATACTGCTTGCAACTAGAATTGAAGGCACATAGAATCCAGCAATGGCTTTGAGCTTTATATAGGGAAAAAAGAGTTGAATAGACTACATGCTTGTGTGCATGAGCTATACGCAATATTAGATTGATTCTATAATTAATCCTAGAAATTTGGTTAGTTGACCAATCCTGTATATAAATATAGAAACAATTTGTTTCCCTAATTTTAGGACCTAATTTTATCTATATATTGCTTCTGTTTTAGAGAAGAATATACATTTTTTGAAATTATTCTGCAGAAACTCTATTGTGTGACAATGCTAAACATGGATTTAGTTGTGGAAATAACTTTTTTCCCTGCGTGTCAGATAAAATGTTGTACGTGATTTGGAAATAGCTGATTAGCTAATTTAATATTTAAAACTTCCTTATTTACTTGTTTTCTTGCATTTTATTTTATTTATTGGTAAGATGTTGAGCATTAGCGCAAAGATAAGATTATACTTTTGGTACTTGTACCACTGCAAGTTTTAGGTAATAAGTAGGGAGGTCAGTGGACCGGAAAAAAATAGGTATTCGTCCAAAATCGTCTTGTTTGGATTAGGAATGAACCATACATATTAGATGGTGGACATGTACGGGGATACTAGTATAAACCCGTGTGGAGATACGGGGATATATATATATATATATATATATATATATATATATATATATATATATATATAAAATAAAATAATTAAGTGAAATACATAATTGTTATACATTTGTTATATAATGAGTTTTTATTCTTCTTGCAAATCTATTTGTGAAATTTTATGATTTATTTTTTAATTTTTTTCTTAAAATCATAAAACTTAATTGTTATGGGCGGTGATGGAGATCAAAATTTATCCCTGATGCGGGGACAGAGATTAAAATTTCCCCTATTAACGAGGGTGGACAAAGGATGGACAAATATTTTTGAAGTGGGTAGGGGTGGAGACTACTCCCTTCGCCACCGCCTCGATCCATTGTCATCCTTAGTAATAAAACTATTGCATATATGTTAACTTCTTTGAATCTCGTAATAATGACAATCTCGTGTATTAAATTTTGTGTTATTAAAATGCGTGGCTTATCTCTTTTTTTTTTTAAGAAAAGTCTTAAACTCTCTGTCCAGACTTAAAATGTCTTATTTCTTGTGCAATAGAAAAGAAATTTTATCATCGTGATGTGACCATAATTTTGTAAGAATATTTGTTTAGACCAAAACTGAACTTTAGGATTAGATAACACGGAACAAAATCATTTACACTATGTTATAGTTTAGAAATGAAAAAATAGTCATTAGGGTGCAGAAGAGTACAAACACATTAGCCAAAACCAATGAAAAGGTTAAACATGAAGCTCTGGGTACATTTGAATCGGAACGAATCGTATTCTAAACACTTTAAATCTGAATTAAATTCAACTAAAATTCGATTCTTAGATAAATTTTATTTTTATGGTCTATATCAGAATATATTAAATATGGAAAATCATTTCAAAAATATCGTCTGAGTCGAATAATTCAATCAAGTTGAATTTCATGATTATTTGATGCAATTTATTTGAAAATTTGTAATCAGAAATTTGAGTTCTATGTTGTAATTAGCTATAATATTTAACATCCTATATTCTGGAATCAAAAACTTTTAAAAGAATTTCAATGTGACCTAGTGTTTAGGATGAACTTTACTATACAACTTAGTAGCCAAAACATAGATATCAAACAACTAATCAATCGACTTTCTGCCAAGGGCATCATTCTTTATCCTAGGTAGGCCATGAGTGATAGATATGAGATGTAGAAAATGTGAACTCAATTCCTCGAATATAGGTATCAAAGTGATCAGCTCAAGGATCTGGGTCATGGATATGAGTGTAAAAATCTTTCACAATGTTATAATTTGAAGGTTTAGGAAAATAGCTGCGTCCATCCTCAATTGACGAAGTTTGACGAAGTTTAACTCAATTTCTCGCTCAATCATCACTGGCCTGAGAGCATACTCTAATTTGTATCTCTCTACGAAGTTCGGATTTTGAAATTAAGTGTTCTTATCAAAATCAACCTCGATTTCCTTTTCAACCCTAGCCATTTCCTCTTATTGTGTAGGCATGATCAGAAACGATTTTAGATTTCAAGAAATCAACTCTAGAAATCTACTAGAACGTATTTGGAGTGGTATGGGTATGAGGTTGTAAGGTTTTGAGAGGTTTTACATGCCAATGGGAGTGTTTAGAATGCAAAGGGGTCTTCAAAATCTGATTTATAACCCTAGGGCACCGACTAATCGCAGAGTCGATCGAGCAGTGTGAGAGTTGCTTGATCCCTGAAACTTTACTGTTAATTTTGACATATCAGCTTCGACGCTTCCACGGACCATCATGACCCTTCATTCACTCCACCTGCCTATCCTTCAAGCCTTAAATGCATGCATGGTGTATATACAACCAAAATGCAATTATATGCACATGCATAGATGAAATATGGATGCAACTATAATGTAATTTTCAATTTAGTCAATAAATGCTCAAAAACATTAATTATGAAAATCACACATATTATCATTAAAGCATATCCATCCAAATTTGCTCATCTAGCACATTACTCTAAGGTATGTTAAGGAATGTAGAATTCAATTTTTATGTATTCTAGAACAACGGCCTCTCACTTAGTTCAATTTCACTCACACGTGTTCAAATTTTGCATATTTGATCAATTCATGTGCAACATGTGTGAAATCAAACTCCGACACAATTAGAATTTCGTTTAGATCAAATCATTAATAAAAGCTCTACATGAAATCATACTACATTGTCTAAATGAACATATGATGTTTAAGTTAACATATGACTAGTTAGTGAGTCTCCTAATCATTTTTCCTTTTATGACACTCCCCTAGTGAGTGTCCTAATCATTTTCCTTTTTATGGTACTCCCCTTATCTTTTATTCCTTCTACTCTTATGGTTTCAATTAACACAATTGTGAATTCTATATTTTACAAATATGCTTCTAAACGTGTTAAGCATGAGCTCTTTGTTGAGCTTTACAAATAAACAATAATCATTAAGCATAAGTACTCTCAACAATTCAAGTGGAATTATTTTCAGTAATTTATTTTATGCTTCACCTTTTCAAATTTGACCTCAATGGCATCTTTTTAAGGATTAATACTTTACTAACCTTTAGCCATATTTTCACCTATCATCAATACTTAGAGTCATGTAAGATCATTAGTCATTTAAAGGAAAATTGTGACACCCCAAAATCCGGGGGTCCGTTGATTACCCATCAACCCGCGGAATACCCGTAAATACCGAGTGACTCGATATCACACCGTTATGTCCCATTTACCGAGGTCCATAACTTAACAAAATTTGGGCAGAGTCTCCTTTGTACAGGGAACTCTACCCAATACCCAACCTGTGCAACATAACTCACATGACCCATCTGAGGCCCAATATAAACAATGACCGCACCGGGTCCATTTATAAGTAAACATTGACCACACCGGGTCCAATTATCCATATTTATAGCAAAACATGCAAGGTTACTTTAACATTAGTGCATATATGTAATAGTTATCATTTAAATCCACCAAGGTCTAATAAGCCTCAATATACCTCAATTAGTGTCCATTTGTATCCTTGGAACTAGAGAAATCCAAGTCCATTGGTGTTCTTTAAATCAAAGAAATCCAAGCCTGGAAGCTTAGTGCATAGTTTGAAAAATTTCGGTTTTAGAGTCACCGTTCGAACAGCACTATTCACATTCGAACGTCCCTTGGTTTTGAAAAATAGGTAGCTCCCAGTACATTTGGTTCTCTGCTGGTTTTGCTGTTCAAAACTCGCACCATTCGAACGTCACTTTACGTTCGAACAGAAAATGCAGTTTCTGTTCTGCTGCAACTTCCAGTGCGGTTTTGACCTGTTTAGAAGTGGAATTGAGAAAATTTCATAAAAACACTTTTGTAGCCCTAGGTGTCTACTACCTACTGTAAAAATTTCAGATCATTTGGACGTCACAATAAAAAGTTATGGCTCAAACACTAAGCAGTGTCTGAAATTTCTGTGTAAACTGTGTATGATTTCAACCCCAAATCAATCCATTCCAAAACCAATCCAAACCAATCCAAGGTTATCCAAAACTTATACAACATCTATTTGATACCAAATATAGTCAATACAAGTTCTAATACAACTATTTCCATACTTTTACATGCCAAAATGGAAATTAACCAAAAGTTTTACAAAAACTAAATTCAAAAGCCACAACCCGGCTTTTCTTCAACCAAGAGCCCCCGAATGAGAGCCATCCACCGGAACGTGTCCCGTACCTGAAATTGTTTCCCGTATAGGGTGAGCACAACGCCCAATAGAGATAAACCTATAGAGGTTACTCTTCCCCTAGATGCACATGCTCATGTAATCATCACACAAACATACAACCAAGCATTTCTCACACTTATGCATCCTATGATGGAATGCAACAATGCTATGCCATGGAATGAAGTGACACTCACCCATGCAACTTTATTCCGAGCTCTCTCCGGCTCCCCAACACATGCAAGTGTCAATTTAGTCGAAACCACCATTTATGTTACACACAATGGCGTTAATCACTCTAGGGTCTTGTATAGGGGTGGATGTTCATGGACTTACACCAAGGGCCTCCAACCCACACGAAATTTACGGACTTCGACCGAGGGTTCCGAATACACCCACACACTTTATGGGCCGAGCCAAGGGAGTGCGTAGCCCAATCACCGGGTCTTGCACCCGAGAGGTCGTCATGCCTCTTCTTGCTACCCCAACCCAATTCATCATGCAACCAAGCGGCTTAGCTAAGTCCTCGACCCAACTCTCCCAAGCCTTCCGTCAATCACCAAGTGTGGTATTGACGTCAAACATGCACTCACTCATGTAATGAGACACTTCCGTGCAAATGCAATGTGATGTTCCATTGCACACAAAATAATGCTCAATATGCTTATGACA